ATCCACACTACCAAAATGGTGTCCTTTCAAACCATTCTTCATCTTTGTGAAGATGAAAAAGTTACAAAGAGCCAAGTCAGGGCTTAGGGTGGATGGGGAAGCACCATTATGTGTTTTTCAGCCAAAAAATCTCTGAGAGCCAAAGCACTGTGCCTCAGTGCATTGTCGTGATGAAGGATCCAAGTTGAGCCGATCTCAACTTGTGCCAATGGTACACTTGTACAGATGATAGCGCAGCTTCTCCATAAACTTTCCTCACTATTTCCAAAGTTTCTGATGAACTTTTACCCAATTTCACACAATTTTATTGTGTACTGCTGTTCCAAACTCGCTTTCATTTTTCTTAATACGAGGCATATGAACAGGGTGTCACAAAAAAGAATATCTCGACTCTCTGACAAGGCTGGAATGAAACTGATCAGTGTATTAACATATACCTGGCACCCCACCCCAAGTGACCTTGGCCAGGTTCTCCCTTCACAGAGCCCTTCTTAAGCATAGGGACTTCATTTTCATTACTTTCTGGACGCACCTTGTATACTGGGTTCGATCCAAAGGTACCACTGTGAAGACCCCACTGCCCACTACAGCTCCCTCATGCCCTATCCAAGGGATGCGGATTTGTTTTGGGATGGTGAGTCAGATTGCACTAGATTGCTGGATTATATCAAAGAGTGTGGCCCTGCCCCTAATGTCACCCTCCTATGCTTTATTCCTTTTTATTTTACTTGTGCTGGAAGTGCCTCTTCCCAGAGTGGACCTGTGCCACTTCCCAGAATGAAGAAAGCTCAGGCTGCCCCACAGCCCGACTTCTGCATAATTCAAGCCCAATGCAATGCAATGCAATGCGACACAATGCAATGCGACACAATGCAATGTGACACAACAACAATTATTTATTACTATTCTGGAAAGTACCCCAATGCTCAGGAGCAACTTTCAGGATGCACAAGGAGTTGAAGAAAGAAGGGTAGAAAGTCCTATACTAAGAGTGGAATTTGGTTCATGGAAATTTGGAACCATGTGTTGATTTCCACTGCTCAGGGCTAAGCCTCCTTAGCTTCAGCAACCAAATCACATTAGAGTTGCACTGACTTCCAATCAATTTCCAAGCACAATCTAAAGAGATGGTTCTTCCATGGTCATATACAAAAGGGAACATCGTCTTCCATACTGAGCTGCCAATATGATGACATCTTCTATGGAGGCCTTTCTTAGAGGGCCCATCATCTGAGGGGAAACAGGTGACAATCTGAGAAAAGATCCTTTCACTTGGGGGTACCCTGCAGGTGGAATTCTCAGAACTCTCTCCTAAGAGGGCTTACTTATACTAATATCTTTAGGTACCAGTTGAAAGCATTTTTATTTCTCCAGGCTAATAATTCTGGGTGCATCTTTATTTCTGCCTTTCCCCCATATTTTAAGCACTGTCTGCTAGTGTTGTTAAAAGTTGCATGGATTGTTGCTTTATTGTATTATGACATATTGTAAGCAACCGTGGAACATTTTAATTGAAGAAGAGCATTGAAATAGTTTAAATGATTTTTAAACAGTGATCTCAGTTCATTCTTGAGACAAATACTACTGGCTGAAGGTGACTTAGGAAGGAAGTTTCTTATTCCTTTCTTCTTCCAAAGGCAATTGGAACAGCCACTTATAGCAATCAAAATTAATAGTATCATGACTGGTGGGGATGCTTTGAAATAAGAGAATTGTGGGGAGAAATTATATGTTTCAACTGATGGTAGATTATAGCATTCCATTTAACCCTACTGATATTTTTTTGGGCTTTTTGAATGGGATAGTTAAAACAAAACCAAAATATAAAAAATAGCACAAAGACTTGCCTTAGAATCTCTCACCATAGGCAAGCAGACCTGTTGCCAACCAATGATTTAGCTGCACCTTTAGCTCTATGGGCACACCATCTTGCCTCCACAACTTTGTGCCTATCTACGTTTTAAACAACAACAGATTGTCAATCTGCTGTTGTGCTCCTAGTATGGCATGGAAGTGTAATTTTTAGGATTGCATGCATGCTAACGCGCGCACACACACACACACAGAGCCTTTCCGCACAGGTGAAAGGCTTTTCATGGCCACCTCATGGGGCACATTTCCCTGTGTCAGGAGAATTTCATTTAAAGAATTGGCTCAACTCAAGCTCCTAGACTGAGCTAATGCATAGGAGAAAACCACTGCCTTCTGTAAGGGAAGAAATCTACTGGGTGACAGGTTTTCCCCCAGGGCTCATTGCTTGATGGCTTCTTGGCTGAACCAAATGAGCCAACTGAAGTAACTGAAAAGAGGAGGGGGAGGGGGGAGGGGGGAGGGAGAGAATATAGAATAGCAGAGTTGGGAGGGGGCAGAGGACCATTGGGTCCACCCCCTGCTCAGTGTACAACTTCAAGTCAAACCATCATTGTCTGATGGCTGTCCTGTTGTAGGAGAGCCCAGAATCAATTACCTACCTATTCCAGATGAGGGCTATCCAGCACTGATTAGCCCTTATCTGGAATACTGCATTCAGTTCTGGGCACCACAGATTAAGAAAGATGCATACAAGCTGGAAAGGGTTCAGAGGAGGGTTCAGAGATGTTGTCCCTGCCACTGCTAACCCGTGGGCTCTGCTTCTGCTGTCCTGCTTTCTGCCCATCCATCAGATTGGTCTACAGTCCCCCTTAATAATAAGCAGTTGTGTAGAATCTGGAAAATTAGAAAACTGTCTATTTGGCATGATCCAGCCAGTGCGAAGTACTTTTAGCACAGAATAGTTATCTTTCCAACAATGAAATGAAACCTTGCTCTATATCTCCCACCCCACTGCATCAGGAAGGGCTAGGATATAGGGAATATGTCTTTAGAGGTCTACAGGAGTTGGGAGGTGAAAAGGGGAGACCTAGTTTACCCACTTTTATGATCACTTACAATCACTTAAAAAGAGTCAAGGGGAGTTGTGCGTCTATATGGGGAAAAAGGAAAGATTGCAAAATGTGAGTAGAAACTGAGACAAACAGAGTTTACACATGACATGTGCTGCACAGTTAAGTCAGGAATTCCTCCACAAGCTACCCATTACTAATATTTACAAGAGTGCATATTTGTAAGCTGTAGTAATAATAGGATATGACAGTTGTTACTCTTAACATTGCAGCTTGTATCCAGTTCAGTGAGCTAATGACACAGTTAAAGCCATTTTACTGTAACATCATGAACTTGGGACCTTACACTCTGCTGCTAATGGCAACAGTTCACCTCAACAGAAACACATTCTGTGCAGCAACTGACAGTTCTACTATCAGTCTGAACCATACAGTCAATTATTGACCAGATTAAACAGTAAACTATTGATCCAAACAGGATGCTGTGGCCCAAAGTACAGAAGGAGACTCTCCTTTTGCAGTTGCAATGAACTGAACTGGACTGCCCTTGAAGACAACTCAGAAGCTTCAACTCATACAGAACACAGCTACCAATTTCATTAGCATAATCCAGTTTATCCATGCCCATTCCACTTTTAAAATAACTTCATTAGCTCCTCTTTGCATCCAGGTCCAATTCCAAGTACCGGTATTTACATTTAAGGCTCTAAATGACTTGGAACACAAATTTTTGAAGTAGCCTCTGCTTCTATACCATTGCATTCATGCTCTAAGACATTCTGTTGGGGTATTTCTCTATGAGATTAATCTATCAGCAATTTATTTATCTATGAGGAAGAGGGCTTTCTCAGCAATGGGGACCCTGTTGTGGAACACTTTTCCCAGGGGGCTCACTTTACACTTAACATGCTGTATTCTCAACACCAGGCAAACAATTTTTATTTATTCTAAGACATAAATATGTGTAAACCTTGGTCTCCTTTTATGAATTTTATCTTTATTACTGTTTGTCCTGTTTTAGAAAGCACAAAGATGGCACATACAGAAACCAACAAGATCCTAAGGCACTCCAAACAGGGTTCTACAGCAAGCAAGGTAGCTTGAAAATGAAATCTGGGTATGGAAAATGTTGCACCAGTAATGGTCTATTTAGAATTGAAAACTTTTTAGTCTGAGTCTTAAAAGCCCCATCCTAGGCACAGTTGCAAGCCATCAAAAGAAAATTAGTTTCTTGTAGAGTGTCTTCCTCATAACTTTTACTCATGAGAAGTCTTCATTAACAGTTGCCTGGTGGTAAACTAAATCTGAATCATAGGTGCCTGCACTGCCTCAGACTAGGTGGTCATTTCGTTTCCACCTCCAAATCAGAGAGGGGGTCCTCAATGTCTTGACGGAAAGGTTGACTTGGGCTTAAGGGCTCAGGATCTCCTTCAAGATCCCTAGAAAGAGGCAGCTTTTTCAAGATATTCAGTTCCAGGAGGTCTAGTCATCCTCTAAAGACAATTCTTCTGAAGGGGGAACAGCACTTCTACTCTGTTCATTTGTTTTGTATTGTTCTTATACTGCACATTGCCTTGAAATTCAAACTGGATGAAGGGCAGTATACACATACATTAATAAAATGCATAATTCTTAGCTTTTAAAAAAACACTTCTTCTTTAAAATATTATCTATATTTCATTTTTCCACCTGTCCCATGACAGAAAGCATCTTGCCCATATTCCTCAGCAACCATTGCTGAAAGGCTGAAAGGCATCGTGATCAGCTATCATGACTGGGAGCCTTATCCTCTATGAATATGTCTAATTTCTTTTAAAGCCTCCCAAGTTGGCAGCCATCATCACATCATGTGGAAGTGAATCCCAGTGTTTAATTTTGTGCTGCATGCTTCCTTTTATACATTCTGAATCTTCCACCAATCACCTCTAATAGCTTTTCCCAGGCTCTGGTATGATGATGCAGTGTACTTTCTCCACACCATGCAAAATATGGTGAGAAAAAAAATCCCCTCCACATGTCACCTGTTATTTTTTCTATTTTTTCTTTTTTCTAAGTTAAAGAGCCTGAAAGGTTGTAAACTTTCTGTATAGGGTAGTTACTCCAACTACCTAATAATTTGGGCTATCCTTTTCTGCATCATTTCCAGCTTTGGCAAGGCTGATGAAAGTTGCAGGCCCAACTTGCCAGAGGGCAATTTCATTTTCAGTTCCTTTTCTAATTATTCCCAAAATAGAATTCACCTTTTTGTTGTGACTGGAACATGCATTTGAATTCACCTTTTTGTTGTGACTGGAACACTCAGTCTATGTGAGGGTAATTGAAGTCACGCATTACTACAACACTTTCTCCTTTGGATGCCTCTCTGATTTTATTCTTCAACTCAAAATTAATTTCAGAGCCTAGTAATGTCACCCACAAACATTTGTGGGTGACCTACAAACTTAATCTCTCCATTCAATCAGTTTTCTGTTATATCCATTATATTTATATTCTCATTTAAAAGTAAGCATTCCAAGCCTTCCATTTTGGTTTAGATATTTCTAGCATTAGCAATGATGCAAAAATATACAGTGCCCCTCTCCGGATATGATGTTTGTTTATTCAATTTATGGATTGCTGTATAGCCAATATATTTCTTTTGGACACTTCTCCTAAGGTTATCAAGTTCTACTGTATGTTCATGGCTTATTTCTACCCCAGCTCCATTTGGGCAATCAAAAACCTTTTCATCATCATCTCCACAGGATGATACTTCCTCAACCTGATTCCTTTCCTTTCAGTTATGCGGGTGATCAGTTTAAAAGCTGTTCTGCCAACTTTTTTTGGTATGAGCAGTCTGGTTTCAGAGTAATCCATCCTTTTTTGCAGAATTCCAGCTTGCCCTAAAATGCTTCCCAAATTGTAAGGAATATAAACCCCTCCTCCCTGTACCATTTTCAATTTCAATTGCTTAGCTGGCCCTGTACATGGAACAGGCAATTTAACTCACAGGATCTCAGAACTACATTTGCCCATTTCATTACAGCTGACATGAACTATAAATGCTGATTCCACTCCCACACTATGTACAAGACCATTTAGCCACCATATTATATCCACAAACTTTGCACCAGGTAGACGATTCACCATCACAAACTCTGATCTCTCTCTCTCTGATAATCAGATAGCCCATTACCAGGAAACTCCACTGCAAGAAATTGGCCCTTTCTAAAAGATCATTTCCTCATCCTCAGATAGATGCCCTCCAACCCCATGGCTCTCAATATTGAAACAGTCGCCCTGAGAATAACAGTTTCTCAAAGGTCTCATCTACATACTGTATATCTTTGTCTCCCTTAGCTTATTCAGGTCGGGTACCTTGGCCTCAAGGGAAGATATTTATTCTCTGAAAACAAGGATCTCATTGCATTGAGCATCCAACTACAACATTTTGTGCATGTGGAAGTTATACATGACATTCCACGCAAAACACTGGAAAGCTCACACATTTCTGCTGGCTTTCTACCTTCATGGCTGCTTTTATTAAAGCATGTTGAACCTGGAAACCTAAGTTATTAGAAGGCAGGGTGGGTGGGGAAGGGATGTTGAATGATCGAGCCTATCTGCCCTGTTGCTAAACTTACCTTTCTGCTTAAGTTGTTATTACCATGACTTTGCCATGTGCTGAACGCAATGATGTTGCCAGGCAAACATGTTTTGGGTCAGAGTTCCTCAGTTTGGGTACCAGTACAGCAAAGGTCATTTCTGGTAGCTCAGAAAGCTGTGTGTGTGTATTGATCATCTTAACTGGTTCCCAAGTTTACATGGGATCCTCTAGATATCCTAGTCCCTTATCCTTTCAGTCTCTAAAACTGTGAAAAGAAGAGTGCTGTATGCAGCCTTCACAGTGTTACAGTGTTTAACCAGTGCACAAATGGCTCCTCATTCTGCCATTCCAGATTTCTAGTTTTTTATTTGGATAAAGGGAAGAATGAGCTGGTCATATAGCTTATAATATTGCCCTATGTTAAATCAGCTATGAAAATTGAATGGCAAGGCTTTCTTTTCTCCCTTCTAGCCTGGTTTCCATAGTTATACAGGCCCATGGGCAAGCAGAGCTGATGTTAAGTGACCATCAGTTAAGCGGTTAGATTTGCAAGGCTGCATTGCATAAGTCAAAACATATTTGACCTACTTACACTGATATTAAACAGTGCTCTAAAACGTTGTCCTATGATTTGATTTTTGTGTTTATTTATTCCTTTAAAATGATTATACATTTGAATTTAAGGTTTTTAGCATATACTTTACCTGTTGCAACTCCTGTTGCATAACAAGTCTTGTGCATCTTTCCCATGAAGAGCTCTAGTCCAATGATGGCATAGATGATTATAACAAACAGCACCAGCAGGGCAATGTGCAGCAAAGGGACCATGGCCTTAATAATAGAATTTAAAACCACCTGGAGGCCTGGAATGAGAAAGAAAATACAGTAAATCAACACAGAATTATGTACTTGAAGACAACTGCTTGTGGACAACTACTTCATTTTATAAGTATACAGACTGTTTTGTTAACCTCTTCAGCAATTATCAATCTGTTCATGAAAATAACCAACATATTTCACATTCTGTTTGCATGGTTTCTACATATCACTTACATTACCTCGACAGTAGAAACTGACTTACAAGTTAAACCATATCAGGATTTATGCATAAGCTTGGCTTATCCCACTATTTACCTATTTATTGACTATTGAAAGTATTGTTTTATTGCAGCAGCATTAGAACTCTTACAGTAGGATTTGAAGTGGTGACTTGAGGGAAGTCAGTCAGGAATTCAGCCTGTACATCACTATTCCATTCTGAACAAAGATGGAAATTACATGGGAATCAGCCACAGTGCCCCTGGAAACCTCCAGGCATAAGTAGAGAAAATCATACTCCCTGATCCCTAAAAAAGCAAGGCTCAATCTTGCTTGCTGCTCTAAGAAAGTAGAGACACTACTTCATGATTTACATTCTGTCTACATCCCCATACTCAACTTCAGATGTCCAGTTTTGAGAGACAGTTAATAATAGAAAGGTTCTATATGTTTTTGCATAACTGGATAAGTAAAATGCAAAGGGACCTTTACTTGAAAAAGAATCCCTTCAGTAGCACCTACATATGTCAATTTTGCAGCTTCTGGAAATTTTATTCTAAAGTGCTCCTTTGGGAACAATTCTAGTTTACAGAATTTGCAATGCTACTGTAAATGTAGTGGTGTTTGTGAACATTTTAGAGATCCACAGATGGAAGTGCTAATATAATAAATATTACCATATGACCATGTCATTAGTTTAGGGCATACTAAGAGGGGAATACATTAAATGCCCCTAATAGCCTCAGAAATGGCTAACAGCTACATGCTCCCTTAGTTTTTCTTAAGACTCTGCAGTTGGTTTTGGCCTGGAATAAGCCACTCAATAACACTCTCATGAACTGATTTTCTACCAGAAAACATACAATATAAATTTGAGAACATCCATTATTTTACCACTGTTCATTTTATAATGCTTTCTGAAATTCAAATACAACAAATAATACAATGTCTTACATCTTTAATACACTGGTTATGAGAAACTGATTGCTTCCATGCTAGTTCTTTTCTCCAGAACTGCTACCCATTATTCTCACTTTCATGAAGCATTAACATGTTGACATTGGCTGGGTTCACACAACACGTGGGTTCACATTCCCTTCAGAACTCGAACCATGCACTGTGGTTAAAATTCCTTTAGGTTTGACAGGCAATCAGAGAAAGAATGGTGGCTCCTCCTCCTCTTTCTCCCCCCTACCTCTTCCCACCCCTAACCTTTCTGCAGTATCCTAGTAGACCCTGCAGGAGCACTAAGGTCCCCTAAACCATGGTAAGCCATTTAGTGCAGGCAACAGCTTGATCTTATTTTTTTAAAAAAAAACATTGTTCTGTTATCCACCTTTGGGAAAGTGAGGGCAGCCCAGGGTCACATCCCCCCCCCCGCAGTACCCAATGATTCTCCTGCAAAAACCCTTCCCCCACTTTATTTTTGAAAAAAAAAATCCGAAACAAGTGAGTAACAGGCTACTAACCTGCAATTTGGCATGGACATTTATCTGTTTGGATACAGTATAGCTGGCAACACTGCAGACCACTGAAGACCATATTGTAGACCACTGAAAACTTTTTTTAAGGCATGCTGGAGCAGGGTTTGGGGGAGTTCTCCCCTGGTTCTGAGCTGCCCTCACTTTTCCAGCTGTGGATAACACAGATGGCACAACCCCCCACCCCCCACCTGGCCAGGGTACTGTAAAAAAGAATATTTGGGGGATATCTCCTCAATTCTCCCCACCTCCAAGCAGGATCCTCAGGGCAGTAAGAGGTCTCAACCATCTCCTTAATTTTCCAATTGACCATGAGCAGATAGAAACTTGAGCAGTTGTAAAAACTGAGGAAAACCCCCAGGGAGGTACAAAGCTTGGGATTTAAGTAACAAGGCTGCCAACCTGCATGAGAGGGGGAAGTCTTTCCCAGCTGTTCCCAAGTGTTGCTATGGCTCCCTAGGCATGCCTGGCAAAAATAGCCACCTGCTCTTCTTGTCAAGGGTCTCTTTTTCTTTCCCTCTCTTTTTTACTTGACCATGGTTTATTTTGTTGCTTGGGTTCAGAAAACACAGTAAGCCACAGTTTCAGACAACACACTAAACTGCCATGGCTTAACATGTTGTGTGAACCTAGTCATTGTTATCTGTCGCATTCCCAGTATTTTCTAGTTCTCTTGTGTTTTCAGAGTTGATTTGGGGCCAATATTTGGATGAAAGAATACAGCTGATGTGCAAGTAAGTGTGAACTGTAAGTGCTATAAAGGTTTTCAGGACTGCAGTGCTACACAGAATTTCCTCTCTGTAAATAAAGCCCATGGCATTGCTTTCTTGTATTTGAGCTGGGGAAATTAGCATTATTAACAATATTCATTAAATACATTTATTTACCATTCATTAGTGATAAATAGCTTAAGGTTTGCCCTTTGAATAACCTCTATAATTTGCCCCAATGTCAATTTCTCTTACTAGTATAGACAGGAGATGGAGAGTTCAATTACAGTTTCCCCCTCATTACTGGCTTCCTTAATTTTTTAAAATAATCCTGTTTCACCATTTATACTGGCATTTTGCCATTAAAAAGGGGGAAATAATTATTTGAATGTTAACAAAAATGCTAGCAAAAATCCACTATTGTGACAGAACCTTCTGCTCTCTTTCCCTATACAGACCTCCATGCTACCTGAAAGTCTATTTTTTGGACAGATTACACAAGTAACTGGAGGGGCCGCAGAGTGAGGAGTAATCACCCCATTCTCAGTATTGCTGATAGAATTTCTGTCATGAATGAAAAGAAAACATTGGATCCACCCTATAGAGAGGATATTAGAATTAAGAACTGATAATGATTTCATATTTCCCTTTCTGTTTCAGTATTTCTTGGTATTACATGAATAAAATAAATCAAGAGATGTGTCAAGACTTTAATTTCACACTGATAATTTTGGGAGAGAAATGTCCACATGTGCTAAAGGGCTCTGGTTTAGAAGTACTTCTTGTTACAATATTAGCTAATTGTAACAAGACTGTTACAAGACTTTATGCTTTGATTTTGCAAATGGATGCTACGTGCTCTTCCACCCATCTGGGAAGAAATGGCTCAGATTTTCCTCCTCCACATTGCCCTGTCTCTCCTCTTCCCTGATCACCACCAAAAGAAAACATAAATTTGCACAGAAAGCGCACTTTCATAGTGTTATTGACCTAGCCTAGTATTGCTGACTCTTGCACTGGTTCTTCACAGCTTCAAGTGGGAATTTTTAAAGCTTTATTTCAAAATTTAGTGCTTACAATGAGCCAGCAACTTTCTGCATACAACACATGTGTTTTACCACTGAGCTACAATCTCTCTTAATGAAGATGTGTGATTTCCCTTATCTTTCCAGTACTTTCAGAGTTGTCTTTATTAGCTTACATTCTAGAAATGTTTATGCAAGATAGTTACAACTAAAACCAAAAAGAGAGATAGTTGTTAAAGAACTTGTAAATCAACCCTCCACACTCCCCAAACCTCCCTCCCCACAGAGAGGGGGGGAAAGAAGGAAGGAGGGAGAAACCACCTGACCTTTGGTTCTTTTAGATACTTTTGTCCTTGCAAGGACAGACTTAAGAACAACCCAGAGAAAACAATGGAGACAATTAGGACATTTCCAGTGTAAATGTGAATGAAAATTGGAAACCTCCCAAATAAAAGGTAGCAGCAAATAAAACATACTTATGCATTCCTAAGGAATCACCCCAAGTATGCAGAAACTAGTACTTTACTTTTGGGTACTTCCATTTTGCTCTGGCAAGCATTTAGCAGTATTCTTGTTCGCTGTTAGAGGGGAGAAGTGAGGACTCATAGCATGAGGTGGAGACTAACCCCACTGCTTCTTTTCAGTATTCCAGCCAGCCTGGAAAGAGCACTGTGTACTGTTATTAAGAGCCAGCAAGGAGCAGGGAAGCATTAGGAGGTTGGAAAGGATATCTTACCCCATCCCTCCTGGAATTTCCTACTGCTGCATTGTAAATATAAAAGGTCTTAGATTAGTATTATTTCCTAGTCCCAATCCAACAGCAACTAAGTTTGTTTCCCTGTACACAGAAATCTCAAATTAATGTACGTGAGGGGTTGCATACAGCATGAGATGGTGAGTCTATAAGCTCATGAAAGCTCATGAAGCACATCCTTCTCCCCAAGCATCATTAAAAATATTACAATCTGCTGGGATTCCACTAAGTTGATTCCTGTTTCCTTCTGCATTTATCTTTCTAACTGGTCTTTCTTCTGTGCCTCATCTGTCCTCAAGCAGAGCCTTAATTGTTAGACTCACAGTCTTTCTGAATTTCAGCTTGTTTAAACCTCTAACCAGCAATAAAACCATTAACTACTTTGCAGAGTCTAATATGCCATGCTACCCCAGTCATCAACCTGCAATATGGGGATAATGTCATATATTGGCATTGGCAGGGCAATTTAAAATGTTTAAACCCACCCACCAAACATGCAGTAAGACCCAAGTTAGAAAGAACTGCTACCTTTTCTTTGGGGATGGGATGCCCAATCACAGCTACACTATAATCATTCATTTCTCCATTGTTCTCTATGGCCAGCTTTCACTTTCACCCTGAGGGAGACCAAAAAATGGCATTCAGTGTGAATCTGGAAATTTTCTTTCCTGACAATGGGATATGTTACTGCAGTATTTCATTATCTCTAGGTTTTCCACATCCTGCAGGTCCCTGAAACTCAGAGAACCACCTTGGTACTATAACTGAAAGCATTTTTCCCCCTTAAATTTACAAACTTGCATATTTTTATGCATCTTGAGAGTCCTCTAAGGAAACCACTAGGTAGTGCTTTTA